GGGGCGGGGCGTGGAGGGTGTGGAATAAAGCACACAAAACCAAAAGAAGGGATAGACTCATTATTTTGGGTGCTAGGCAAATTGGTCACCAATGTCATGTTATAGGCTAAGAGAACAAGAAGGATTATTTTTATTTTTCTTCATTCTTAACTCAAACACAATTATATGTAGAATGAAAAGAGTAGAACTGAATCCCAAGATAGTGAGGGGTGGGTAACAGGGCCCTTCTATCCATCTGAATGTGTTTAAGTCACATGGCCCAAGTGACTGCTCCCCAACATACCAGAGATTTTCCAGGTGACATGACTGTACTGCTGCTGGTAATGTGAGAAACCCTGGCATACATGAATGGTGCTGAAAGTCTGAGAGTAGGCAAATGCTGTTTTGACTTTCAAAGTGGAGAGAAAGGTAGATTCCACAAACTATGCCAGTGAACTTGACATCTATTCCAGGCAAAGTTCTGGCTGGATTTATTAAATCCATTCAAAAAGAGAAGCTCAATCACGAAGTATCAAATCATTACAGACTAATACTCTTATTGGCTTCTGGGTATATGTATTTCAATAAGGCATCTAGGAAATAGATCAGTTGAGCATTATGGACAGAAGAGTACTGTTTAATAGGTTGAAGTAAATGTATAGCGGAGTATCTAGCAATGGCCTGAGGGCTTGGTCTTTAGTTTGAATTTGCTCAACATTAAAAAAACACGTTTTTTTAACTGTTTATTTTTGAGATAGAGAGCGAGCACGAGCAGGGGAAGGGCAGAAAGGAAGACACAGAATCTGAAGCAGGCTCCAGGCTCTGAGCTGTCAGAGCAGAGCCTGACAGCAGGGCTGGAACTCACAAGCAGTGAGATCATGACCTGAGCCGAAGTCGGACACTTAGCTGACTGAGCCACCCAGGTGCCCCTGATGTGTTCAACATTTTATAAATGACTTGGATGAGAACAGAATACAGATGTGCATGTTTATCAAACCTATAGCTGACACAAAGCTAAGAGGGATAGATAATACAAAGAATGACCAAATCAGGATCTAAAAAAGGTCTTGACAGGCTAGAACTGAATGTCAAATTTAACAAGATGAAATTTAACAAGGGTAAAAGTAAGTCTGACACTTAAGTCCAGAAAATCAATACAAGTACGAGACAGGGAAGCTTGACATGATAGCAATTCAAGTGGATAACATCTAGGGTTTTTACATGACTAAAATCACAGTTTAGGTCCAAAGCTAGAAAGTTAGAAGGGAGCAGGGTTTAGCTTCATCAATATTATTTTCCTTTCAGCTCAATATAAACTGTATGTAACAGGCTGATTCAGGAGGTAAGTATGTCCTTCCTACCCAAGCCAAAGTTACATAATTCTCACAGATGCTGAATAAATGGTACTGGAATTCAGTGGAAGGTTTAGCAGAAGAAATGATCTGAGATAGTAAAAGATTCTACAAATCTACTTAAATATAAGTAGATGTAATTACAATTTACAAAGTGAAAATGATTTCATTTCAATTGATTTAAAGTTAACTCTGCTGAATGGGAAGCTCAAATTTAGGCTTTTTTTTTTTTATTATTATTATTAGTCCAACTAATATCCTCTCAATTGGGATCTCAACAGGGCACTATCTGGGATCATTTTTTCTGTTAAACTTTCCACTGAATTCCAGTACCATCTCTTCAGCATCCACAAGAATTATTTTTCCTCTATTAGTCCAAAGACTCTTAAAAAGAATGACAACAGTACTTTCTCACTTCACATAACTAAATAAATACTAAAAATACTTTAAAATTGTTATTATGGAATATATGGTCTTTATAAACAAAATTAAAACTTTTTGATGAAGATAAAATGAAAAATAATGGTTCCTCTTCTGCTTTCTGCCCCCAAATACTCCCTAAACTCGACTGGACTTCCCTAACTTCTAAAGATCTCCTTCTCCAACTCCCTGAGGACTTAGTCTTTATACCATGACCGCTTTTTATCATACACCATTTATTTTCTTCCCCCAAAAGATTAGAAACTCCTAAAGATAAGTCTTTTACTTCTGTATAGCTCATTTACCAAATACAGGCATTCCACAGAAAAACAACATTTACTAAACTTTCTGACACTTCTTAAATAAGAAATAACAATATTCTTTAGATACTAAGTCTTTCACTTCATATAAGTGGATATTGGTTGGTTTTACCAATCTAGCATTCACTAACCTACCTATCTAGCTCATCATTGATTTATAAAGATCCATCCAATTGTGCTGGTAAAAGAATGAGATCTGCTAATCAGAGCATGGCAATCCCATAGACATGATTCAATCTAGACAATGAGATGCCATCAACTTGAAGTTGGACAGATATAAAGGACCCTAGATAGTGCAGCCATCTTGGGACCAACAGAGTGGATCTATCCAAGTGTGAATCCAACACCCAAAAGATCAAATCTGTGAGTTTGATAGTAACATAATTTAGCACACCTATTGAGTGTTATAGTCACTCTATTCTTGACTTCAGAATTGTTTGACTTCAAAGCCTTCTCCTCCAGGAGGCATACTACCTTGACTCCCTAGGTGTTTACCCTTAAGCTCAAGGAACTCTTCCTCGGGTGTGACAGGTGGAACTCATGAAGAACAACAAAAAATAATAAAAAACAGAAGTGTAAAAAGAAACAGATAAATATGCAAGCTAACTATGAGTGATGAATTATGGACTTGCAAATGGTAACAACATGAAATGCCAGGAGAATGAAAAAATGGCAGTTCAGGTGTACATGTTGGTAGAAGAGAAAAAAAGGCTTTACCAGAGAGGGGTGTCTGGGATGATTCCTGCATTATGCGTTCACAGCAAACCTCTTGTGCCACTGACTCTCGCTCAATGGCCACAGTGGCCAGCTTTTAGTTCTTAAAAATTAAAGTTCTTTCCTGTCTCAAAGCAATTGTCACTTTCTGGATGGTCTTTCCCCAAATCCTCTCATGACTGGCTCTTTTCTAATTTTTTTTTTTTTTTTAAGACAGAGAGAGGGAGGGGATGAGAGAGAGAATCTTAAGCAGGCTCCTCTTTTAGAGGGAAGCCCAAGGAGGGCTCAATCCTGACCCTCGATCACCACCTGAGCTGAAATCTTGAGTCAAGATGCTCAAAGGACTGAGCCACCCCATGAGCACCTCTTTTCTCACACTTTTGATCTCTGTTCAAATGCTACCTCTGCAGGCATTCCTTTTCAGTCCAACCAACCTAAACTGGACCTTTCTTTCCATCACCTCTTATTTCCTTCAAAGCTCTTATCATCAACTATATTTACTTAAAATGTTTAGTTGTTCCACTCTTTTCACCAAAGGAATATAAGTTTCCTGAAAGCAATATTTCCGGTCTTGAACACCTCCATTTCTTTAGACCCAAATTCTGGCAGAGAGCGGCATAATATTTTAATAAATATTAATTAAAATAAATTAATATTTACTGAAGAGAATGAATGGCAGAAAGTGAGAAGATAACTTGGGGAGAAAAATCGGCGTTGTAGTCAGGGTTCCTGGGGAAGGCGATAGGAAGAGGGCAGGAAAAGCCAGCTGGGTTGGAGACTTCACAGGGAGTTGAAGGTTTACGTCGGTGAGACTGGAGGGTGTCGGATCAAGGCTTCAGGCTTCCCGGATCACGCGTGGGGTGGGCGGCTGGGTGGGCAAAGGGGCACATACCACTTAGTGCCCAACTCCTGGGCATTCCCTTTGCGGAAACCAAACGCTAGGCTCTCTTCAGAACAGCACCTATCCCACCTCGCAGCCTAGGTCCCGCCCCGGGGACCTTACGCATCCGTCTTCCACGCAATCACTAGCCCGTGGACACCAAAGTTATCGCCTGGGCCGAGCCCCCGCGGAGCAGCAACAAGTGAGAGAGACGACCACCCTCCGCCTGTCCACACTGAGGATCCGATACCTGCCCGCCATCCCGGCCCCTGCTCACTCACCGGCTGACGCGTTTCTCCCCGCCCCCAGCCCGCCCCGCGGCCCTACTCGGGCCCTCACTTACGCTTGTCTCCGAGCTATGAGCCGATGCATGGGAGTCGCCATCTTAGCGCGGCTGCGGACTGCCGCGCTGGGTTTTGGGAAGCTCCTCGGAAGGGGCGGGCCCTTCGAACCCCCAGCGGCCGCCTGCGTGGGCGGAGCCAGTCCGGCCTCGCGGGCCTCTGTGGCCGCCTTTGGGGTAAGCAGTGGGTGGGTAGGTGTGTGTCTTGTTTCCTGTGTAGGTCTCTAGTTTAAGAAAGAAGGATGATGCCGGTTGTCTTGCATGAACAGGCCCTTGAAGAATGAGTACAGGTATATTGCGTGGAGAGGCCGGGAGAAACATTCTCAAATAAGGGAAATATATATTATAATATATATTATACACACACACACACACATAAATACATGAATAAAAGTGTGCAGTGTTCAGAAACGAGTCTGGAGAGCAAAATAAAAGGAATGGGCTTAAAAAAAATAAAAAGTAATGACTTGAGCAACATTGGAACCATAAATTGAAAGACCGCCTATAGTGCAAATATATGTTAATTCTATCTTTACTCTTTCACAGGGATTTTATTAGGACCAAATGAGATTATGTAACTAAAGCTACTTTGTCCACTGGAAAAAGATACTAATATATTTAAATTTTTTTTAACACTTATTTATTTTTGAGAGAGAGACAGAGAGACTGAGCACAAGCCAGGGAGGAGCAGAGAGAGAGGGAGACACAGAATCTGAAGCAAGCTCCAAGGCTCTGAGGTGTCAGCACAGAACTAACCTAATGCCTCACTCCAACCCGCAAACGGTGTGATCATGATCTGAGCCAAAGTCCAATGCTTAACCGACTGAGCCACTCAGGTGCCGTAGAAAAAGATACTAAATTTAATTATTTTAGCATTTAGTGTCAGATCATGGAAATTTTATTCCCTTAAATCTACATTCTTTGAAACATATAACTTTTTGAGCTGTATATGTATGCACATTTCTGGGTGTTCATTCATTTTTTTCAATTAATATTTATGAAGCACCTAAAATGTTTTCAAAACTGAGGATAGAGCCTTAGACAGGTAAAGTCTTTGCACACATGGAGCTTTCTACAAACAATAAGCCAAGGCAATGTCCAAAGAGCATAAATACTCTAAAGAATTCAGGGTAAGGGGATAAAGAGTGATTTAGCACTGAGAGAGAAGGTGATAGATACCCTTAACCTTTGAGCACATCTTGTTCTTGACAAAGTGGAATCTTACTATCTGTTCTGTTCTTCAGCTTGCTTTGTTCAATTCTCAGTAGACTTCTGGATGTCTTTTCCCATGTCAGTACATACAGATTTAATTTATTCTTTTTCTATGTTAAGTTATATGGATTACATGGACATTCTACAATTTATCCAACCAGTACCCTATTGATATACAATTAGATCTTTTGTCAAAAAGATGGGATGAACAGATTTTCAGGCACTCTTCTATTTCTGTAATCTGATCTTCTAGAATCACTGGGTCAAAGAGTATGTGTATTTTAAATTTTGATTGGTATTACCTATTGTCTTTTAAATAGGTTTTACCCAAACATATTTCCTCACTAGAACTGAGAATGATCAAACTTTTTTGTTGTTGTTGTTAAATGTTTATTTATTTTTGAGAGAGTGAGTGTGAGTGGGGGGGAGAGGCAGAGAGACGGAATCTAAAACAGGCTCTAGACTCTGAGCTGTCAGCACAGAGCCTGATGCGGGGCTCAAACTAGGCAACAGCAACATCCTGACATACTCCGAAGGTGGAAGCTTAACGGACTGAGCCACCCAGGAGCCCTGAATGGTCAAACTTTTAAACTCTTTCCTACCTATCATTATTGATGAGATTAAGTACCTTTCATATGATTATTGGAGACTTATTTTTCATGAATTGTCAATCAGATTCTTTGCTTGTTTTTCATTTTCTATTTTTTCTTTTTTTTAAGTTTATTTGTTTTGAGAGAAAGAGAAACAAAGCACGCAAGCAGGGAAGGGGCAGAGAGAAAGGGAAAGAGAGAGAATCCCAAGCAGGTCCTGCACTGTCAGCGCAGAGCCCAATTCAGGGCTAGACCCCATGAAACACGAGATCATGACCTGAGCTGAAACCAAGAGTCAACGCTTAACTGACTAAGCTACCCAGGTGCCCCTCTTTGCTTATTTTTCTATTGGATATTGATCTTTTTAATATGGATTTGTAGAAACTTTTAATATTTTATGTAAAGACACTTCATTTTATGTTTTACAAATACTTTTATTATTTTGTTTATAGTCTTTAAACTTTGTGATCTTTTACCATGTACTGAGACATTAAATTGTTAAATAGGCGTTTTTAACAATCTTTTCCTTATGGGTTCCTGGGTTTGACTAACACTTAGAATGGCCTTATATGTCCCAAAATTATTAAAATGTGTTCTGTGAGTCACCTGGCTGGCTTAGTTGGTAGGGCATGTGAGTCTTGATCTTGGGGTTGTCAGAGTCCCACATTGGGGTATAGAAAATGCTTAAAAGAATAAAAAATAAAATATTTTATTGTAATTCTTTAATTACGTTTATGGTTATATCCTTATTCCTCATTTATAGTGGGGTGCCTGGGTGTCTCAGTCGGTTAAGTGTCCAACTCTTAATTTTGGTTTAGGTTATGGTCTCACTGTCATGGGATGGGGCCCTGTATGGGGCTCTGTACTGAGAGTGGAGCCTGCTTGGTATTCTCTCTCTTCCTCTCTCTCTGCTCCTCCCCCTCTCTTTCTCTGTCTCAAGTAAAAAATTTTTTTATTAAAAATAAATTTTGTTAATCTTTATTTAAAGAGACAGAGAGACAGACTGTAAGCATGGGAGGGGCAAAGAGAGGGGGAGACACAGAATCCAAAGCAGGCTCCAGGCTCTGAGCTATCAGCACAGAGCCTGACATGGGGCTTGAACCTACGACCTGTGAGATCACGCCCTGAACCAATGTCGGATGCTCAACTGACTGAGTCACCCAGGCGCCCCTCAGATAAACACTTTTTTATCCTCATTTTTAGTTTTTGAGATACCATTTACTAAATCTATCACTTATTGATTTGAAAAACTACTTCTCATATACTAAATAGGTATAAGTTTAGTTTGAGCATTCTGTTTTCTTCTCAAGATCTATCTGTGCCAGGATGTGTCATTGTTTTAATTTCCATGGTTCAGTAAGATATTTTGATATCTGATAAGGTAGTCCCTCCTAATTAATCTTTCTTTGTCCCCACTTTTCTTCATTGTTCCTAGGGATTTATTTCCCTAGAAAGGTTTTATTCTCAAATTTTCAAGTTTCCCACCAAATAAGATTCATCTGTCAGCTGATTTTAAAAGAAACTTCATTATAGCAAATGTGAAAAGACAAGAGACAGAATAAGATGTAACAAAAGGAGAACTATTTTAAAAACAGTTATTTATTTGAAAGAGAGAGAGAGAGAGGGAGAATCCTGAGCAAGCTCAGCATTGTGAACATAAGCCTGATGCGAGGCTCCTTCCCACTGTGAGATCATGACCTGAGCCAAAGTCAAGAGTAGGACACTTAACTGAGTGAGTTACCCAGGTGTGCTGCAAATGGCATTATTTGTGATGATTTGGTTGCACATTGGGAAAGCCCAAGAATTAATTACAAGCCTCTTGAGGTGGGGTGCCTGGGTGGCTCAGTCAGGTAAGCGTCCAACTCTTGATTTCAGCTCAGGTCATAATCTCACAGTTTGTGGGTTCCAGCCCCATGTCGGGCTCTGCACTAACAGTACAGAGCATGCTCGGGATTCGCTCTCCCTCTCTCTGCACCTACCCTGTTAGCTCTCTCTCTCAAAATAAATGAGAATAAACTTAAGAAAAAAAGGCGTCTTGAGAGTTCAACATAGGGGTCACATACATCACACACACAAAATACAATAATAACTTGCTTTTTCAGTGGCAAGAGAAAGCCAGTGTAGTTGTTTCCCATTGAGGCTCATGGGCTTGAGGGATCCTCATCTTTGTTCAGAGAATTTAGGCTACAATTCAGATGCTGAGCTTTGTAAACCTTAATGGATACCAGCTGAAGGAATTAAAAACTTGTGAAAGCTGCAAGTAATTTCTATCTGGCAAGAATGAATATTTTACTATTCTTGAGGCAGACTATTCCTTTATTCTAGGAAAGCCTCCCCAAGTGTCTTCCAGTTATATAAGATGTCTCAAAGAACTGGGGGAGGGATGGATGTAAAAGGGATGTGTTGGAGGGAAAGTTGTATCTCTCTGGCCTGGGTTGCTTTGGGGCAGGATGGTTGTTCCCTGCTCTGACCCTGACCTGTCAGTGAGCACCTGTGATTGGAGAGCTGACCAGCAGAATAGGGCCTGCTTCATGGGCAAATGGTACACATTTCAGGGTCCCGTGCTTAGAAAAATCCCACATTTGGTTTAATGCTCTGCTACTGCCATCTTAAAATTCATAATAGCTTTTGATCAGGGAGCCCCGCATTTTAAATTTGCACTGGGCCCTGCACATTATGTAACTGGTCTGCACCAGAAGTTGCTCAAAGTATTTTCACTTTGAGTGAAATGCAAACTAGCCCCACCAGGATCTGAAGAGGGGAGAAAACTGACCCTACCCTTCCTGGAATTTAGAATCGGTCTTTTTTTTTTTTTTTTTT